GAGCACTCAGGATAATTCTGGTTAATAGGCTCTTCAGCATCAGTCTGGCATCACTGGAGAGCGCACAGTGAAGTGGATTAGCAATCTACCACATGTTTGGCAGCATTAACTGATGCCTCAGTCCTATCAGACTTATCAACCGTGTCTTCAGCGTCGTTCGAGGGAGACGCATGAAGAGCAAGCAATGATCAGTTGCAAATATTTGTACATTCGTAAGAAAGAGACAAAAGTATTCACCGGATCAAAGTCCCGCTAAAATCAGTGGGAAAGACTGACCAGAATCCCTTCAGCTACAGCTCCTTCCAACGCAGAGCAGGGAGGATCTCCCAGAGACTTAGGCCCTGAATGAGGCCACAGTATCCTTCCCACCAGAATGATTCCAAAGGGTCTGAACAATTTCAGTAAATGCTAGGTATTTAAACCTGTGCTAGTTCCAAGTGTTTGGTGAGAACCAAAAGCTGTTTCACGTTTCACTTGCTAGTTACACGTTTGTACTTTGGTGGCACCACAATCAGAATACAATGCTTTGCAAGAGCAACTTCCCAATTTAAGCATAACCTAGGAAGTTCCAGCAGAAAAAATATCACTATTTAACTCTCAGTCCTACCTTCTTCCATATATTCAGTCAGGTGTGCTCAGACTGGAAACATTTACTCACTACTGATGAACCAAAACTAAAAGGGGGGAATGATGAGTTATCTTCCACCTCTTGTATCATCAATGGCATTGCAAATAACTTTGAATTAGTGGTCTCTCTCTAATTTGCAACATCGAATGACAACAGTTTTGTCCCGATTACATGTATGAGGCAGCATTGAGACATAGTGGGTCAGAAATGCTATAGAGCAGTGATAAGTTCTACTCGTCTTCAAATACTGGCTACTGCTAAAAAATTGAGCCAAAAAGCCCTAAATTAAAAGGACGACTTCTTAAATAAAAAATATGGAGCTCTTCTGCAGTGCCATTTTTATAAAGCCATTCTTCACAGCAGAATTCATTTTCATGTAACATTAAGGGATTCTTTTCAAGGAGTCATCTGGGTTTTCTGTCGAGGCAGTCCCAAGGTCTCTTTGCACTTGTATATTAGAGCACACTTTTCATGTGTAGTTCTCAAAAACACTTTACAAATATGATTTTCCTTGGAGGTGCACAGTTATAACACTGCACAACCTTAAATACTTAGGGGGAAGGTTTTAGCTTGTTTTAATAGAGAAGGCAAGTGATGAGGAGGACAAAATTCACTAGTAAAATCTGGAAGGTCACTACTAAAGAGAGGGAATGCTAGCAGTAATTAGAAAAAATTATTTTGACAGCCGTGAATTTTCCAGATCACATAGCTTTACATCATATGCTTCAAGTATAATTTTTCCCGATATGCACAGCTACAATTTTTAGTTTAGGGACTTTTTATTATTAAATAGGGAGAGAAGGGGAGGACAGGAAAAAGGTTGATTACTTTCACGACTTCTGAAATAAGAGTGATTTCTACAGATCAGCTTCCCACAATTTCCTAAACAAAAACAGTGAAATTACAAAGGTTCTAAAATCACGCAACAAGTGATTTTTAGAGGAATGGTTATAGCGAGTGATCTGCAGAACATCACTCCTCCTGCCTCCCAATTCTTCTGTCTGCTGTAAGGGAAGGTAGTGGCAGGCTAGGTGAGAGGGCACACACAGAAGACGCATGCCAGAGACAGGTAAATTAGTACACAGCACAGATCACATGCAACAAGATTCATGGAGGCAGCTGGAAGTCTAACAGCCTAATAACAGGTAAGTGTGACAGCAGTTGGCAGGCCTGGGAATGACTGATTATCTGACGGTGACTGGTTCAAATAACAACGCAAATACACACTCATCTCAAGAAACTGGAACTTTTGGGTATCTTATTAAGGGTATTATTTCCCCTGCTAACACACACACTGCTTCATCTCAGTTTGCGGCAAGTTCTTTGTATGATTTTAGTTCCTTTTTCGCCTGATGCTTTCTAATGATAAGCTTTTGCGACAGTGCTAGCTAGGTATTATCATTCAATTAGGAAGTGATCAGCACTGTCGAAAAAAATCGCTCAGTAAGTTCACTGAAATCGTGCCTTTATTACTCAGATGAGGATCTTACTTGCAAACCAATAAACAGGAGGGATACATAGCATTTAGCCCATATCCACCAAACCACAGAACGTAAAAGAGCACATGGAGTGTCTAGGTTCATAGGGTATCTAGAGATATGGAATGATTGTCCTAAATTCCCGCTCTAGAAGGACAACAGTATTAATAGAAGCATAAATACATCTCCACGATAAACATGCTCTGCTTGCACTTAGATTTGCTTAGAGAATATCCTAGATTCTCAAAATCAAAATATTTAGGAGAGTTTTGAAAATCCTCTTCGAGAAAAATAATGAAATCTGCTGTATATTCCTAGGTAAATCATTCAAACTAGGTAGGTTGCTAAAGTCTTATTTATATTCCTGCCTAAATAATGATTTTTATTTAAAGGATCAGCAAGTATAATCCGGGGTAGCAAAGCGTAAGAAGAAATAATATGTTGCTTCACACCAAAGGGAAAGTCCCCTTTCAAATAACCAAAAAGAGATTTTGGTAATCTGTTCTTCAGGGTATGTACTAACTGGCACTTACGTGTAAATGTTTTCTGGTATAATTTTTTTTATTTAACTGCGTATTTTAATTTTTGAGGCTTGAATACAAACACTGTGTGAGCAGTGTGCAGGTATATATAAAACAAACACATAAATATTACTATTGCAAATACTTTTCCTATCTAATTTTAATGCCATGAGCCATCCCATCAAAGTTAGTGGGATTACTTGCACCCCTAGAATTAAACATGCTCCTACCTGTCACAGAAGTGAATCATACAAACATATACATGCACTCTCCACGCAGAGGAGCACAGCTTTGTAGGGGAAGTTAACCTAACCTTGCCCAGGGCAGGTGAGGCTTTTCTGTTTTGTGTATGTGTGTGTTGGTTTATTTATTTATTTTTTTTAAGAAGGGGGGAGAGGGGGGAGAGAACAATCCCAAAACGTTAGCATAAGTTTGCTCCAGTAAAATCTGAACGGGAATTTTTATATATGTGCTTGTGTGTATGCGTGTGTAAAAGTAAAATATAATACTTTGCGCCTAACCAAACATACATGAAAATGTATATATTTTTAAAGGACTAACCTTCTTTCTTAAACAGTAACTCTATCAGTTGCATGCCTGTCATGCACTACCGTTAAACAAGCAGTGGTCCCGTTGGTTTTGAAAGCCTTCTGAAACCCCATGACAAACAAAGTATACGCATTGTCTTGATGTCTAAAACTTTGGGCCCTGTTAGTAAATCGAGCGCTTTGCCAACATGCTGGGTGTTTGGCATGGAAGGGCCAGTGACTTCAGGAGACTGGCGGAAATTTTACACCGACACACACCATCTTTTATTAAACCACGTCACCCAAAAGACAAACAGAGCAACGTTTTTCCTCCCCTGCATTAAACAAGGATACAGGAAGTATACCCTAAGCGATATTAGCACTGCTAGAAACGAGCAAAAAGCAGAGCAATTCTACCATGCAAAGCATGCAGAGAGAGGAGGAAAGAAAGTACGGAAGCACCAGAGGGATAGACGCATTGGTTAAAAGAGATTCTCTAAGCATACTAACCTGCTGGTTCTAATGAATTTTCTACTTTGTCGTTAACATCGAAAACACGATCATGAACACCTATAGTTTTCATACAGCTGTCTATAACAAAAATAGAGATAACAGCCAAATATGTTAGTGAGACACCCTTAAACTCCCCACTTTCCTTTTTTTCTCTCTATCTTTTTTTCTCTCTATTTATTATATAAAAATAAGTATATTTATATTTTAAAGTCTGTGGCACTTGTCCAAATGCCAGTAGTCTTCCATTTGTACAACATTTTAAGAAACAACAAGTTAGCAATTGCTATGTAATTAAAACAAAGCTTTATGAAGAATGATAAGAAAATATGATGAAAATCATAACACAAATGTTGCTGTACCGAACAGATACACAAGATTTAACAGTAAAAAAAAAGTGTCATCGCTCTTTACCAGACCACACAGTAAAGCATGCGCTACAAAGCCACCCTCAAAAGCTTAAAGTAAAGAACTTACTTGCCGGTCGCACAAAGACCTTAAGCTTTAGACAGGATCTCCTTCCATTATCTGGGATCGCAGAAGCTGTAAAGGGGGAAGAACGAAAGAGAAGAGGAAGAGACAAAAAATGCATATTAGCCTTTGTCCTGTAAGAAAACATCCTTTATTTTCCCTTCATCTGAAGGGATAAACACATTTCAGTCTCCGTATGTATGGACTTCAAGTACGCAAAGCAGCTTGATCATGCACAAGTGGGGAAAGAACTGCAGATCCGATTTTACTCTAATCCCTTTCTTGATTATTTTACAAGAGACAAGTGAAGCATGTGATATTCTCAAAAGTTTCATTATCTCCCTTCACCCTTCCACACCTTTTTCTCATGAGGTTGTTTAATATGGTTTCTGCTGTAATGCAGGTGTTTACTCTGAAAAATTACATTTTAGAATAATTAGAGTTACTTGCAGAGAAGCTAGTCTTGAAATGCTAGGCCGTTGGTGTTAGCAACCAAAAAAAGAGATGTAAAAAAACCCACACAACATGACAGTGACTGCTAAAAATTTATGCATCTACTTCCAAGAAAGCAGAAACACATAGTGAAATCCTACCGAAAAAATCAGCACCCGTATTCCCTAGTCCATCTGCTTTTACTGCAGAAACACTTATCTCGCTTCAGTAAAAACAGGATTCCCTACGTTACCTAGCTAACAGACTAAACCCGGCTCATTCCTTCTGTCTGCCCTCCCGCGGCATTGGCCACTCAACGCCTTTCGTTATAAGGGTACTTACTGTCCAAGAAGAAAACAAGGAAGGGGAAACAACATGTCTAGCGCTGTACAAAAGAGAATACATAGATGACTATGGTCGGCATTTACTTATTTCCCCAGGACCAAGCGCTGCCATGAACATTTCCTTACTTTTAGCAACTGCTCTTGCCTCGAAACGCGTGACTACAGTGAAATACACCTGCCTGCCACCACAGACTGCATCCCTGAGGGTATTTTCTGCTAATGTGAAGTCACCTTGGCAGCTTTCATCAATGTTTGCAATTTTTAATTTGTACATTGGTCCAATGCTAAACACGCACGCTGGCTACTGAGGCACTCGATTTGGGCATACAAATTTTCCCTTGTGAAAGATCATCTATATATATGCTTTTTTTTTTTTTTTTTTTTGCCCTTGCAAAAAATCTCAGAGGCTATGGCTGAAAATATTGCCTGAAGCACTGCAAAGTCATTTTATTTCATTGCACGGCCTCCTCCATCATTCAAAAAGCTACATACTAAGACAGAGCAAGAGATGCTTTTTCTTGAAAACGACAACTCCTGCAAGCTGCCTGAATTTACAGAAAGATGACTGGGCTGGCAGGGAGTTTGTTTTGTTTATCATCCGTTTTTATTAATTCTGTCCTGGTTTGTGACAATTAACAAAAATGATTTATGTACGGACATACGAACCCGCACTTCCTGTCTGCGTGCTAAGCTCACACTTGAGGGGCTCCTCAGCTAACTCGACATGAATTCCCTCCGTTCTCGGATGATGCATTTCCACGGCAAGCATCAGCTTTTTCCTAGGAAGGACTCGCAATTTCAGTACACAGGCGAAAAAAGGAACAAAGTCAGAGTCGAATAGAGCTAATGCTGTGCTTCTGCACCTGTTGGGAAGTACTTGAAAGGTTGTTTCCTTCTTTTGATTAAAAGATAAAAGTGTGCAGAAATGATGCTCCCCCCTTCACAACGACAAGCAGTTTAGAAGTGCTAACAGCTGCCTTTGCTGTAGGCTCTTACTAAATCAAAATCAGAAAAACTCCCTCTACTGACATTTACAGCAACTGGTATGTTATTTAGGGCACAATATTTGCACTCCGTGGTTACGTTCAGGAAATTGTGTCCTTTCTGTGGTCCTGACTGCATACACTCAACGGGCGAACCGCTTAGCCCAGACTAAAAGCAGGCACTTGTGGACTGCTTGCAAGTTGAGAATTCTACACTATTACCACATTATTAATATAAAGGTGGAAATAACATTTCCGACACCAGCCAAAATAGAGACCGTACAGTAATTTCATCACTAAGAGATTTTTCCTGCTCAGAAATTCTTTTAGAAGTGCATCAAGATACACATTTATTCAGAGGCAAGATTTAGCTTTGATGATCACATGCTGCTGTTTACACCCATAAAACGAGTGTATTTGGGCTCACTGCTATTTATCAGAACACTTTGTTAGTCAATGCCAGCTCCATGATATTGGATCGGATCGGATAATGTTTTGGGGGGAAAAACAGAAAATGAATGCTCTCCATATATACAGTTTATATGAATATACAAACAACAACTTGTAATTCACTATGTTTTTTGGGAGAAAAATATTAAAAATCTGCTCCCTGTTTAAAGCTCCTTTTTCTATCAGCCCTTACATACAAGGCTCTGCATCTTGTATGTTGTATTGTGAGCTGAAGACAACCTAACAGTTGCATTTAATTCATCATCCTAGCAACTGATACAATTTTAGTGGTAAGTATGAAAAAGTGCTTTTTTCTTTTCCAAGGAAATTACGCACTCTCATGCTTGCAGTAAAATTAGGAGGATTCCTCTTTCACTGCAGTGTTTTACTCCTTCAGGAAGGAATAATAATAAAGTGAGTTACTGTTCTGCTTTCGCATCTGGTCAGCCACCAAGGAGGAGGTGATGAAGGGAAACACTGCAAGCTCTCTGGCCTTCCCGAGAAATTAAGAACTGTTTGCCAAGCTGGGTGACTGCAATCCATTTTTATTTCTTCCCTCCTTCTCCTCCCTCCCTCCTCCTTTTCCTTTTCATCTTAAACAAAAAACCAAAAAAACCCACTGACCAGTTATAGCGTTCACTTTAAGTCTAGATGCATCACCCAAAGGGCAGAGTCAGGATGGCTCGTATCATCCGTCCTCCTCACGCAGACATTGCAGCAAGTTTGTCAGTACTGTTCTGTTGTCTTCCCTCTCCTCTTTATTCTGCAATGTGTTCATCATCGTTCTGTGAAAACCCTGACTTTCGGATTAAGGTGTCCAGGATAAGATAGCAAGGACTGGAAAATTTTTTCCTCCCCTCTTTCATTGACAACCCCAAGATCTTTTTTCTCTAAATGCTCAACACTAGGAACATCAGACTTGCTCCTGGCTAGGCAAAGCCAACATTGCTCCTTATATCTGTTTTTTTGGTAAGTCAATGCCTTGAAGCTTGCACTCAGGCTGAAGGCTGAAATCCTATTCTTCTACAGGAAAGCAGCCTTAATGACAACCTTTTGTTACAGAGCACACAACTCTGCATCAGGGTGACCTAAAAGAGGGAGTTTTGAGTAACAGCTACAGAGAAACACTAAGTGACCAAAAACAACACAGAGGAAAGGATAAGCTGCACATATTACTGGCAATAAATGCTAAAAATGTTTTTTTCTGGAGGAAAAAAAAAAAATGTGTCAGCCAGGACCCATCAGAAGCAGAGGTTCGCATGACAAATTCTGGGATCAGTTTGGTTTTTGGAACCAAAAATCTCCTATCAAATTGATAGTGTCTGAAAAAAATCAAATCTTGACTTCTACACTTAAAGGGTAGGAAAGAGCAAAGCGGTAACAGAAAGATCAGCGGTTTTAAGCTCTTTCACTTTCCAAGAAAGGCGGATTTTCAATGCAGCAGACTCTGACAAACTCCCTGAGACTCTGCTCCGTGCTTGTAAGACAGCAAAGTTTCTGAACTCTGGAAAGGAGAAAGAGAAACGGTTTCGACCAGCTGCAATCTGTTAAAGTCCCTTCACAACTAAACTATTGCTCTTGTTGCTATATTCTACTGAAATTAGCTCTTCTATAAGAAGAGATGTCCTTTCTGGGCAGTACAAAGAGAAACTTCATTCTCCTGTCTGCACAAAACTGAGTTAGCCTCTACATAGCTTTTTTATTTGCCTCTTTTAAAGGTGATATTAGCTATAAAATAGGAGCCCGTTCTGAGAGCAGGAAGCCTCGGATGCTAATGAAACCCTGTCCCGAGCAACATTTTCCTTTTCAAAAGGAAAAATTCCCAGGGAAAAAAAGGGTGATGGAAACCTTGTTGCACAACAAAAAGAACCCTTTGAAAAAAGATCCCGTATAAGGAACAAAAGAGGTTATACCCTCTTTTTTCCATGAATGATAAGAGAGCAGAAAAGAATCAGTCAGTAAGACTCACAATGAAAAACAGAAGGGGAACTTTATAATGTTGCCCATTCCTATGATTTTATTACAGTTCTGATGATATTCCCCCACTGCCCCCCTGTGCTTCCCCCACCCCAATGAGCAACCTCATGAGAATCTCCTGGGTCTATATGGTTTAAAGAACATGTTTTAGGCTTCATAGTTACACAAAGACTTGGGGCTAGAAGAAAACACACATTAAATCCCTCTCAAATCACAAGATATATGAAAATAATTCAATGATCATAAAAATAATTGTTTCTGTCTCCTCTCTCTCTTCTTTTTTAAATAGAAAATTCCATGATTCGAGAGAAATTCAAGTCATGATTTCTGTATTCTTGAGGCAAAAATTCTGTCTCCACTCAGCTGAACTAGAAAAAAAAGCACGTGCAAAAACTACTCCTGCTTACAGAACTAGATCCAATTTGGATCCAACAACGGCACATAAAGAAAAAGTAGATGACAAAATTTCTCTTCTCTGAACCACTTCTGGCTACCATTTTTATACCCTGTAAGGAAAGGAAAGAGAGTCAAGGAAATTATTCTTTCCTCATCTAGAGCCAAACCATAAATATTTCAGTATTTGTGAGCTATATTTAAATAGGGAAATAAAAGTCCTGCTCCCTCCATCCCGCTCTCAAGCAGTTCTCTACTAGAAAATACATTGGATATTATTAATATATTACATATAGCAGCTCAAGCCCTTAATCAGATAGGATAAGGCTTAGTAGAGTTTTTCAATAGCTACTGGAGAACCATAGATAGAAAACAAAATGTAACGGACACAGAAACAGTTTTTCCCCTCCCAACAGACATGCAGTTGAACTATTACATTAAATGCCAAAATCTCCTTAAAGGAGTTGTCAAGACATGGCCCAATCAAGTTACA